ATATTGCCCCAGAAGATGGATGAATATAATCAAATTTTTTTGGAAAATATTTATATTAAAGATCCAAAAATTAAACGAACGTCAATATTATAAAATTTAAGAGAATCTTCGGTGAATATTACATAATTCTGTGGTTCAAATTTTTTTAATATTAATTCTGTTTTAATTAAAAATTTCGTTATTTTTGTTTTTCTCATTTCAGTATTCATTCAATTATAAGAAGAGACATAAATTTCCCATATATCGCATAAAGAGAGAGAGAGGGGAAATAGGAAATAAATTCTCATAAATTTAATAAATTAAAATATTTAATATTTACTCATAAAAATATGGGAAGTATAAATGAGAATATATTGTAAATAAATTATATAAATTATTTTTTTAAATTATCATAATAATTATTAATTTACTAAAGTTGCCCAAAATCGCAAAAAATTCATTAAAAAAAATAATTTCATTATAGGTTATCAAACAAGAATAATTAAAAAATTTAGAATAATTAATGTAAATTTAAATTAGAATTCAAAAATAAAAAGAAAATGCAACTGATTAAAAGAAGTTAACATATAAAATTAATTAAATTAAAATAAAATAAATCGCAAAAAAAAAAATAGTAGTAGACGATAGATTACAAAATTAAATTAAAGAATCAGAAAATTAAATAATTAAAAAAATGTTAAAAAAAATATTATTTAATTAAAATTTAAAAATTACAATTTTATTTTTTTAATTTTTAAAATTAGACTAAAAATCAATTAAAAGTTATAGTGAAATTAAAAATATTTAAAAACAAAATAACGTCCAAAAATATCAAGACAAAATTAAAAGAAAATTTTCAACAAGTTTCAAATTATAAAAAAAAAAAATTCAAAATGATATCAAGATAAAATTTATTATATTTAAAAAATATTTAAAAAAAAATTTGTTATTAATATCTAAAACATTTAAATACAATTTAATTATAAGGTAGATAATTTTAATATAAAAAAAAATTAAATAAATATAAATTTAATTAATGTTATTAATATAAATGTCGCTTTTGTTGGCTAAAATACAAAAATATTTATGATAAAGCAAAAAAGAAAACCTGTTTTTTTTATATTATATAAAAAATTATTATTATAGAATTATTATTACTAAAAATAAAGAAATAATAGTTCAAAAACAACAAAAAAAAAATTTATTAGTTTTATACACATACTTTATTATAAAATTGAAAAATGTTATACATAAGCAAAAAAGTAGTTTTTATAATACTAAAATAATAGCAAAAATAAATAAATTACAACTTGATATAAAGAGTAACATTTATTATTTTATTGTTAAATATTGAAAAAGAGAACCTTATATAAAAAAAACAACAAGAAAAAAAGAGTATAACATAACAAGACAATACAATTTTTTTAAATTAAATAGTAAAACAAAAAAAGAAGAGAAAAATTAAAAGAAAATTTAAGAGAATTAAAATTATTTTTTTAAAAAATAAAATTCACATAAAATATTTATAATAAAGAAAGAAGCTAAATTTAAGATTGATTAAAATTTATAAAAATTTTTATAATAAAAATTTAATTAAATAATTTTCAACTACAATTAATTATTAAAAACATTTTTTCTTTTATTGAATAAATCAATTATTTTATTATTGTAAAAGAAATATTTTTTTTTATATTTTTCATATTATTAAATAATAAACTGATAATAGTTAAAAAATTATTTGAGTAGAAAAAATAAATAATAATTATGTTAGAAATTTTCCCTTTTTTCAATAAATTAAATTCTATAATTTTGAAATAGTATAGATTTTATAATTTTATTTCTAATTTTTAAATAGTAGATTATTTCAAAACTTAAATAAAATAAAAGTAAGCAAATACAATTAAAATAATATTAAAAAGAAAATTAAATAATTGCAGAATAATATTATATTATAAAAATATAATAATTTATTTTTATTAATATTAATTTAATAAAAGTAATTAGTAATAATAATAATTTAACAATTTTTATTTAATTAATAACAATAATAAATTTTATAATAACTATTATTTAATTTTTATAATATAATATAATAAAATAAATAATTGTTATATAAATATATTAAGAAATAATTAATAATGTATTATAAACTATAATACTATTACATATATACATTAATACACAAATATAATAATAAATAAAATATGGTTTCTACATATGCATTTAATTTTAAATTATTTAATAAAATAAATCTCATAACTTTTCTGATATCCGATTGTATTTAATTTGTTTTAAAAAAATTTTATAAAAAAAATAAAAAATTTATAATGTTTTTGGCATAATTTCTTTTTTCTTTAAAAAAAAAAAAAAAACAAACAAAAATTTATATTGTAAACCAGGTAAATTTAAAAAAAAATTTAAGAAATGGCAAACTTATACTGAAAAAAAAATTACTTGAGAATTAAATTAAAACTCAGGTTTTTAATTTTTACAACCATAAAAAACTTTTAATATAATTAAAAGAGTGAAAAATAACACAACATTTTCAAACATCACAGTACAATCAGTTTTAAAGAAAACAAGAAAACTCAAAATTCACCTCACATCTCACATTTAATTAATTTCAGTTTACTCTTCCCACTTTTCATACTTATTCTCCTTTTTTAAAATTTTTGATTAATATATTACCGCAAATAAGAACGAAAAACAAAAAAAAAAATAAACTTACATCACATTTATATAAATAAATTAAAAAGAGAAAAAAAAAATTATATTTATATAAAAAAAAATTACAATTTTCTAAAAAATCATTTATTTAAGAGAAAAACTACATTAAAAATTTTTAAAAAAAAAAAAAAACTCTTATACTCTACTATAAAATTTCTATATAAAACAAAAAAAAAAATTTTTACACAAAAAAAATCACAACTTTTCTATACAACCCCAAAAAAAAAAATAAATTAAATATTTTGAAAAAAAAATTAATAATTAATAATTTATATAAAATTTATAAATGTATATATATAAATAAAAATTAATATTTGAGTATATTTTAAACAAAACTTGAAACTAAAAAAAAAAATTATAATAATTTATATTTTGCTATATAAACAAAAACATACTTTAAAACAAAGACTTGTTTTATCTTCTTTAAAACACAAAAACCAAATTAAGAAAAAGAAAAACTATTTTCAAAAATAAATAACAGTATTAAATATATATAACAGTAGCAAAAATAGCTATAAATATTTATTTTCTAAGATCAAAACAAAGAAAAAAAATCACTTTATATTTATTTAAATAAATAGCGTATAATAAATAAATACATACATAATTAATATAAACAAATATTATATATATATTATATTTGTTATACAATAACAAATAAATATAAATTTATATTAAAATATACAAAAAGTACAGGGATTAAAAAAAAAATATAATCTTAAATTTTATCTTATAAGAAATATTAAAAATAATTTTGGAAAACAAAATTCGTATACATACATAACAATTATTATTATTAAATACAAGAAAGAAGAAAAAAGGGGGAAAAAAATGAGAAAATTTCAAATTCACTTTTAATTTTACTCTTACTTAACAATAGTATATAGAACTAAACTATTAATATTATTATACTATGTGAACCATATTATTAATTTTTTTTTTTAGAATGAGAACTCTATTAGAGAGCGAAATTGACATAATAATAGTAATGTTATTGTATACATATGCATAAAATCGAAAATAATTGAGTAAAATTTTTAAATTTATAAGGTATGTGTGTGTGTAATGCTTTATATCGTAATTATTTTTTAAGAAAAATAATTTATTTATAAAAGAATATAAAAAAAAATAAAAAAATTATTTAATAATTTCTTTATATAATATAATTTTTTTTTTAAATTAAAAAACGAAAACAAAAAATTTTGCAAAAATAAATTTAAATATTTTGGAAAATTTAAATTATTTTTTTCTTAAATTAATTCAATTATTAATAAAAAATTATTCAAAATTTTTAAAATTTTAATTTCAAATTTTCAATTCCAAAATTCGATTCTAAAAATTAAAGTTAAGAAAATATAAAAACAAAAAATTTTTTTGATTTAAAATTAAAATTATTTGAAAAAATAATAAAAAAATAAATTTTTCAATTTTTTTTTAATAAAGGTTTATATGTATATATATATATATATATATATATATATATAGTTAAAAATTTTTTAAAATATTTATAAATAGAATATTAATTATTGTATATGCTTAAATCTTAACAAAAAAAAAAAAATAATATTTAAATTAAATTTTCTTTTTTTTTTGAAATATACAGAAAAAAAAATTATAAAAAATTTTAAATAAACTGTAAAATTAAATACACCATTTCCGGCCATTGCTTTTATATTTATTGTGATGTAATTAAAAAAAAAATTTTTTTAAAAATAATTAAAAATAAAAACATTTATATTAACAAATTTTAAAGAGAAAAATTCATTATAAAATGCTCTTCGCTACATCTACACACATCTAATTAAATAAAAATATAAAAAGTATTCAAATAATATTTATAGAAAATTTTTAATTAATTTTTAAATTATTGGAAATTTCCATTTATTTTTAATTTTTTAAATTTCTCGAATTAATTTTGAATTAATTAAAAAATAAATGTATTTTAATTATTAATAAAAATTTAAGTTTCAATAAGAATCAATTTTTTCAAAAAGGAAAAACGCACATATTATATTTTATTAAAATAAATACTAAAATAATTTGAAACTAAATTTTAATTAAAAATACTTAAAATTTATATATGTAACTAACTATAAAAGAAGAACAATCTCTCAATTGTATATATCATATATATATATATATATATATATATATATAGCTTATATATAAAGGGCAACTTTAGAATTTAAAATCAACAATTACTACTAAATTAATCACTTAAATTTTATATATAATGGTAAATCATTATAAAAACTATTTTTTATTTAAAAAAAAATTTTAAAAATCTAAAAATTTAATTAAGTAATCAAAATTGAGAAGAAAAGAAATTAAAATAAAAAATTAACATCTAAATAAATTAAATTTGTCATATATTCAATCACTTATCGCTGTCTCGTCAAACTAGAAAATTTCAAATTTGTTGTAAACTTCCCATAAATATCTTATAAAACAAATAAAAAAAAAAATTCTAAAATAAATAATATTTATATATACATTCACACATATATGTATATATTCATAAAAATTCATCAGAAAAATTCACTTACTACAAAACTACGCGTAAATAACTTTCTATTCGATACAAGAAACAAAAGAAAAAAAAAGAGTAAAATCTCTCTCACTATCTATAATACCAACAAAATATAGGCGCTAATTCTAAAAATTCTAAAACCAAAAAAAAGAAAATTCATAAAAAATTATAAAATTTCAAAAATTTACAAAAATTAAAAATAATTAATCACAAAATTTTAATTATAATATGTATGCGGCTGCAGGCGGTGCTTCATTAGCATCGCGTAAAGCTCGTCAAAATAAACAAAAAAAATATCAAGCACAACAGGCTCGTGCACGTGCCGTTAATGAAATAGCACAACCACGTGTTCAACAATCACGTCAATTTCATCAATTACCCCCAAATTATTTACGTACACCTGGTGGTGGTCCATCACGTAAATTAAGTGCTGCTAGTTTTGCTACACAAAGTAAATTATTACTGCCAATACATGAAGGGCATCAACAACATCCGCATACACATCATCATCGTCATCCTAGTGGTGCTATTACATATTATGGTAATCAACAATCAATTATTAATCAACATAGTCAATATCATTCACATTTACCACATGGAGCTGTGTTACATCATTCACGTCAAAATTTACATCATGGACGTCCATCAACACCTAGGTTATCACAAACCGATGAAAGTTTAATACCAGATAAACCACATTTAATAAAATCAGCAACAGCATCATTTCCATTAGTTAGCCAAATTGAGGCTACACCACCTGCCACACCATTAATATCAATTGAAACAAATAAATTAAAACCACCTGGTACAAGCAGTTTAGTTGGTGTTGAATTAGTTAATATAGATGAAACATTATTAGTTACTACAACAGCAACAACAACATTACCATTAACATCAATAATTCAAGCACAACCTATAACTACTACTACTACTACTACAACTACTAGTAATATAATTGAAGATGATCAAAAAGAGAAGACTGATATAATAATAACAACAACAGGTGCAACTGTTCAAACTACAACTACAACTTCAACTACAGAAACAAGCGGTTTACAAGTTCTTCCAATACCACATGATTCAATAATTGTTACACCAGCAACACCATTACCATCACCTGGTCATAGTATTAAAGCTGCATCAACATCATCACAAGCTGCCGAAGAGAAAGACTTTTTTGGTCCTGGACCATTTCGTTTGGAAAGAAAATGTAGTTTTTATCGTGTTAGACCTAGACGAAGTAATGCATTCGAAACTTATGATGATTGTCAATCTTTTTTGGATGCGACAGGTCATGAGTTAACCCAAGCTCAATTACTTCATTATAGAGATTATACAGATGATAGCACATTATTACATCCACCAATTGGAAATGGTATTAAAGAACCACATAAATATTCACAATGTGCCTATTGTGAAGATGGAATTTGCTTATGTGAACATATTGAGGTAAATTAAAATTTTGAAAACTTTTTCGCCAAAAAAAAATGGACGACTGAAGAATGGATTTTTTTTTTTCAAACTTTTATGGTACAAAATTACTTTTTCGGTTTATGTAGCTCTTGCTACATAATTATTCTTATAAAATGTGGTTTACAAGTAATCATCAATTTAAGAAATTTTTTTGCTTTTGGAACTCAAAGTTTATTTCAGCATGCAAAAAAGCTTTTTGATTTGCTTTGGTTTTTTTTTCTTTTTTGGAATATTCGCTTATTTACATTTTCTGCATGAAAATTGGAAGCTTAGAAAAATTTAATGTTTGGTTGTTTTGGATAATAGAAATTTGTGGTCAAGACAATTACACAAAAAAAAATCTCTGCAAAGAACTTATATCTACAATATTTTGTCACTATTAAAAGAGTATATAGTTTTACCTAAATAATACTGTTACTTGTGAATATAGTAAAATTATACCCAATATCAAAAATCAATTGGAATAACAATGGTGCATTGCCATATTTCGATAATATCAATTAGGACAACAATCCACCACATTAACAACTGGTTGTAATCTTTAATAAACTCGGTTACCTGTCGGGGTTTTAGTAAGTTATACTAGTGTTTCGATTCTGCCCTCTGATTCTGTACATTAATTCTGTTACTAGCTGTTCACAACTAAAAGATAATGGTTTCATTACGTTAAAATACCTCAGTCTCATTTGAAAGCCGTCAGTCCTTCCGCGTTTCTACAATATTTTAAATTTAATATTTTTTTTTGTTATATTAAATTTAACATTAAGCTGATTTTCTTAATTTTTATTACTCTCTTATTCTGTTATTCTCATTCTCTTTTTTTAAAATTTAAAATTAAATAAAAAATTCCACTCGAAAAAAAACTAAGTAAAGTTTAATATAAAAAATCCTTTACATATATATATATGTATGTATATACTTCAACATATTAACAATGATTTTGTTCTTTTTTATATTTTATTTCTTTTACTCTCATTATTCTCTATAATAATTCTTTTAAATAAATAAAACAAACTATATTCCCATACTTATTTCATTAATCATTTTTGTTTTATTTTTTTTTTTTCTCAAAGGTGAACTTTACATATTTTAAATGTTAACAAAATAAAAGATTATCTTTAGTCATAATTCACTAAATAAATATTGTTATTGTATACTCGTATATGTATATCCTTGATACATACATACATACATAAGCAAAAAAAAAAATTCATATCTTTTTCCTTCTCTTTTTCCTTTCATTTTTATTGCTCATTCTATAAATAAATATTATTATTATAAATTGCACATTATATTTGTATATACTCATATACTAACAGATAATAAATGTATAAATAAAAATATAATATATTTTAGTATATTACATAATAAAAACATTTTGTAAAATCGTCGTGATTCGTGGGTGCTACTCATAATAATATAAATTATATTGTACACATATAAAATATACACAACACATACTATTATACTATGGTTATTTGTAACTATACTTTATAATGTGCATAACTGTATGACTTACAGAAGTCATACAGTTATGCACATTATGTTCATTTTATGCTATTCCGTATCGATCCATTAAAAAGTATATGAACAGAACCTACACCTAAAGTAAATTTAAAATTCATATTTTTATATAAATACAAGTATACCTAAATTGAAAAATACTTGTATTGCCATCTATATTTTTAAAAAATTTAAAAGAGTTCTTTAAAAATGTTTTCATAGGATATGATTTTAAATCTAATATAGTCTCATTTAAAATAATTCACAATTTGAAGAGAGTATAAGTTATTTTCTCTTTTGTATAATAAATAAGTAAAAAATAAAGAAATTTTTCATTTATCGGGTTGTCTTTATGAAAAGTAAAAATTATGATTAATATTTAATTTTATTTTAAGTATCTGTTTTGAAATAAATTTAATTTTAATATTTTTAAAATTCTAATTAATATTGTAGACGAAACTGTTAATTTACTGAGATTTATTAAGATTGCTGAGAAGAGAATATAAAAGAAAATTTAAAATTAAACTTTAAGAGACTAAGAGAATTAAGTCTTAATCGAAAATCTTAAATTTATCTTCAATCACAACTGAGAACTTCAACCCAAACTATGTAATCACTTTGATACTATAAGAATTCAAAAAAACTTTTTCTTCATACATAAAAATTCTTCGAGGCATAAAATCGTCTTTTGAAATTGTAGACCATTTTAACTCATCATTATAACAAAGCATACAAAACTTTGTCATTCATTATTATTAAAAGAAATTATATTCGATTAAAAACACTTCCTCTATGCGGTTTATTTATTGTGTTATGGGCAATTTTTGTATTCCAGAATATATTTCGAGAACGTGGTGAAAATACAGCCCGAATAACAGTATTTGTTCATCTGGATACATTCTTTTTTTTACTTCTTGTGGGAATGTAACGTAAGCTAATAGTATCATCAAAGTTATTGAAGACATTCGTGCTGTCTTAAAGTTTACAACACAATTAACTTACTGTATGTGATGGAATAAACAATTAACTTACTGGATTACACCAGCTTCTCTATTCAAATTCTAAATATAAAATTGTTTCTCATATTATAAATTGTAAACCCGAACCTCAATCCAAATTCTAAATAGAAGGTTTTTATATTAGATTTTTCTCTTGTACTGCACAAATAATTTTCATTACACAGATTTTCTGTATTAAAATGATATTCTCTATAGATACTAATAGTAAATTTGTAAAAATGAAAAACAAAAATTAAAATGAAAGCAAATAATAAAAAACATAAAACATTTTTATTATACTTTTGTAGTTTATAGTCTAGGTCGCCTTTATAAAAATTTTTCCTCATTTTTTTTTTTGTTTTTGCATATTTAAATCATAAATTTGCTCTTTTTAAAAAAAACAAAAATTATAAAAAGAATATAGTTTTTTCCTTTTCCCAGTATAAAATTAAAATTTATTTAAATAAGGGAGACATGCACCACATTAAATGCATATGAAACTTAAAATTTAATATCTTATTTTTCAGTTTTACATTTCCATATTAAATTACGAGTACATGTATACATACAGTTTAATTGAAATTAAAAAGGATAATAAAGGGTAAATTTTTAGATGTAATTATTAAATAAATTACATGAAGTCATAATTATCCGGAGTACATAAAAATATTAATTGTATGAATTAAAAAAAAGAAAAGAGCAGTTTTGTGTTTTCATTCGGATGCATGTATAGGATGACAATAATGTACCCAAATATTCAATGATTTTGGTGTTAAAGATATTGTTTGGATTACAGAATTTAATTAACATACATAGGTTGTAATTCAACTTAGAAATTGTTCGAGTTTTTAGAATAATTTTTTAAAAATTTTTTAAAAATAATGACTGTCTTCACTATATTATGGGTTGAAATCCATAAGTAATTAGTTAAGTGCAAAAGATTAACATATCTAGAGTACATAGATGGGAGCAACAATATGCATAGTATATAAAAATGAACTGTTCATTTGATTTGGGGTTTTTAAATTAAAATATTTTCTATTTCTCTGTAAAGATTATAACATTTAAAAGGTCTCTAAATCAGGAGCCTCTAAAATGTTCTGGAACGCCTAAAAGCTAATTTATTAACTACATAACAATATGAACAGATGTAAATTTTTGGAATATTATCTTGACTTTACTAAGAACGAAATGTTGCTACTGTTCTAATGATTTCATTTCAGCCAGTGCTATTTATACAGTATTGTATATGGTACACAATGATAATATGTAGGATTACATCATATTTAGGACAAAATATTTGAAATCCTTTAAAAGAAATTGAACAAATGACTAAAAATAATTATAAATTATGTGCTCCAAACTAACATTTTCTTTCTCCAAATTAAATTTTAAAAGTTATTAAATCAATTACATTTTTATTTTACTTGAACAAAATTTTATTTTTTCAAATCTTATGAGCATTTAATCAACTTTTTTCGAACTAAAAAAAGATACAAAAAAATTTTGTAATAAAAAATTTATTCAATTTATTAAATTAAAGTTTTTTACCCCAATTCCTTTAGGAAGTCCTTTTTCAATAAGGATTTTTTTTTTGAATTCTTTATCATGATCGGAAGTTAAAAATTTTGCCATATGAAACACAAATATTAAATCTCATAAAATATGAAATGCAATATTGTATTATGTAGGATTACAAATATTATTTTTTTTTAATAAAATTGAAAATTTTAATATTTTAAGACTACAATTTTCAATTTATTTTTTTTTTGTTTTATTTCCTGCTTTTTATTTGGAAATTAAAACACTTTAACTTTATATTATTGAATAATCTTTTATAAAATCTTTTCTGTAGTTTTTTTTATTTCTTCATCATTGTGCATTGTGCACTGTGTTCTTTTATATTTATTTGGAATTAATATTTTGCACATATTAATGTACGATTAACGAAAACATATGATACCCATGATATTTTAATTCGGATGTTGGACTTCACTATCACATCCCGCCTTTGTTAATTTCATATACCCATCATATATATATGGTAATTGTTCCATAATGTACAATAAAATTGAAATCCATCTGGTATAAAATAATGTAGTAATCAATTTGTATAAAGTAAAAAAATAAAAAAACAATTTTTTTATTGACCATTATTTTGGTTATTTTTTGTTCCTTTTTGGCTCTCTTTATCCCATATAAAATATCCTTTTTAAGTTTAATTATTTAAAAGTATTATTTATTATATATGTATGTGTGTATAAAGGATTTCATTTATGATTTATGTATATAAATAAAATATATAGAATTCTCATCATCACACATTTTATTTATATCAATAAAATCAAAATAAAATATAGGACATCTGTTTATTGAATTGAAAATGAATTGAATAAAAATTGAATTTGTATCTGAAAATAAAGGGAAAAATTTAAAATACCCAAATAAAATATATAAATATTATTATATGTATAT